AATTTACTTAAAAGGTACGAATTATTATTATTTTTTTATATTTTTTTTTTGCTTACACACATTACATATTACGATCAAACATAAATACATAAGTCTTGTTAGAGGTCATCAGCTAGGGTTTATTATACTTTTCTAGAAGCTCAATTTTTAGTTTATTTTTAAAAATAGCCAGAGATCTTACGGTTTTAATGTTAATGTTCAGCTCGTTCCAAACTTGTGGGCCTTTACACGCCACACTGAAGCTTGTACACTTGAGTGTTCTAATTTTTCCCCGTAAAAGGGTTTTATGTCTTGTATTGTAATCATGAGCAGGTGTAGAGATTGGGATGAGCTGAGTCTGTCCTTAGGTCTAAACACTACGTTATACATGCATTTTGGAAGAGGCTGCACTCAGTAAGTTTCAGAAGCTTATATTTATAGAATAAGTGATCAGTGGGGCTGTTAAACTTGGCCCAAGAAAGTTCCATGGTCTCTCTCTCATTGTTGGAATAATAGTCATTCTTTTTTAGATTTTTCATTCCTGTGATTACGCCTCACGTGATTACAGGTGTTTTTCCTTTTCCCGTCTGGAATAAATCGCAAAAGTTGAGCAAGATGAGTTATTACTTTGAAACACGTTTAAACAAGTATCTTCCTTATAAAACTGACTTACTTGCTTTTTATGGCGGGTTGTGTTTGTCGGTGTGTCATCGAGGTGTGTGCGGTCTGGTACACACCGGGCTGGTCTTGCTCAGTTATTCCAAAGTGGTTTTACTGCAAATGGCAAATACATTCTTGAATTCTTGCGTATGTGATCTCGGTCTAAACAGGGCCTTGATCCCTCTTGACGATAAAACACAGAAGATTGTTTCTCTTTGACACGGACCCTTCTCAATTGTGCATAACATTGAGATTTCACAGTTCACTCAGAACCAGCATCTCCATGGTAACCATCTTCTTCTTCACCAAAATTGGAAATCGGTCGCATTTCAATGATTTTAATTTGTTCTGGTTCTGACCTTGTGAAGAGAGAGTTAATGTGTTTGCTCCATTCCACACCGTGCAGTATTTATTTATAATGTAATTAAAAAACACAAGCTCACATGGTTTGAAAAGACCAAATATTTGTTAGAACAACATTAAAAATAAAACGCAGGATTGAGGCGTCTGTTGTTTAGTCTGCAACAAGAGATAATTACAGCTGTTTTTTTCAGTTATTGCCAATGCTCTTCCACACTGCCCTACCCTGGTCTTACCATGTGTAAACTCTGGTCCATGATCATCTCCTACATGTACGTCTGGTCTTACCATGTGTAAACTCTGGTCCATGATCATCTCCTACATGTACGTCTGGTCTTACCATGTGTAAACTCTGGTCCATGATCATTTTCTACATGTACGTCTGGTCTTACCATGTGTAAACTATGGTCCATGATCATCTCCTACATGTACGTCTGGTCTTACCATGTGTAAACTCTGGTCCATGATCATCTCCTACATGTACGTCTGGTCTTACCATGTGTAAACTCTGGTCCATAATCATTTTCTACATGTACGTCTGGTCTTACCATGTGTAAACTCTGGTCCATGATCATCTCCTACATGTACGTCTGGTCTTACCATGTGTAAACTCTGGTCCATGATCATCTCCTACATGTACGTCTGGTCTTACCATGTGTAAACTCTGGTCCATGATCATTTTCTACATGTACGTCTGGTCTTACCATGTGTAAACTCTGGTCCATGATCATCTCCTACATGTACGTCTGGTCTTACCATGTGTAAACTCTGGTCCATGATCATCTCCTACATGTACGTCTGGTCTTACCATGTGTAAACTCTGGTCCATGATCATTTCTTACATGTACGTCTGGTCTTACCATGTGTAAACTCTGGTCCATGATCATTTCCTACATGTACGTCTGGTCTTACCATGTGTAAACTCTGGTCCATGATCATTTCCTACATGTACGTCTGGGTCTGATCCTAGTGGCTGCAGTTTCCTCGGTTGAATCCCCTCCGACCAATCAGAGAGCGGGGGAGGCGGGTGTTGTAGGTCGGTGTCGGTGACGTCAAGAGTTTAAAGCAAAGATGTTGGGGCTCTACTCCCCATAGGCTCCGTTCGTGGCAAAGAAGATGGCTAAAGCTAGGCTACATGCTAAAGATAGGCTAAATGCTAACGCCTCACTCGGGCTCATTACATATGCCATGGTAAACTCAGATCCAATCGTTTCAATCTGCAAAAGGAGTTAACCCCTCCCACCTGTTACAATGGTATGGTCAAGTTAAGTCTGGGCTGGAAAATGGTTTATTCTTTTATTTTTATTTTTTATGTATTCTTTATTTATTGAGGGATTTTGTGGGGATTTTAGTGTCCCTCATCTCTCATCGCTTTCTAGCTCCACGTGTATCTCTGGTCCTGAGGAAGTAGAACCACCGCGCTGCTACTGAAAACGTTGATGTTTTGGACGACCATGGTGTGAGTATGAACCAATCAGCGCAGACCACTGATTCAAAAGGGCAGACGTCTTGGAGACCCGGGGCTCGGTCTCAAAGCTTTTCAGAAATTGTGTCAATGAACAATTTATGTCTGGTCTTCAACTATGAACGAACACAGGCCTCGGGTGTAAAAATATTGTCTCTGAGTACGGTCTATAGTTTAGATATTACTCCCACTGGTTAGTTAGTGTTTAGAAGAAGGACTGTGGTGATCCAGGACACTCTACAATCTGCAACATGTATGGACCATCAACATTCATGGACATTGGTCTCTCCCTATGGACCAATACCATGTGGTCTCTCCCTATGGTCCAATACCATGTGGTCTATATTTTTTGTGTCTTAACTGCTGATTCTCTGATCTGTGTTGGTGATTTCAAAGGTTTTGTGAAGTCTCTGAGATGATGCTGTTGTGATTTAAGCCGATACAAGAACACATTGAATTGGGCCAATATTTAAGAGTATACACTAGACTCTTGTGTGTTCTTTCGGTTAAATGTATTTGATAATTAGAAAACTCTACCCCGCGGAAGACCTAGGACACGCTGGAGGGACTATGTCTCTCAGCTGGCCTGGGAACGCCTTGAGGACGAGCTGGAGGAAGTGTGTGTGGATAGGGAAGTCTGGGCGTCTCTGCTTAGACTGCTGCCCCCAGCGACCCGGCAACGGATAAAGCGGAAGAAAATGGATGGATGGATAGAAAACTCTACATGACTCTCCCACACCCGAGTCTCACCCGCTCAGAGCCAGCAGTTTCTTGACTCTCCGCGGCCCCTGACACATTTGATAGATCCATATTTCTTGCTCAGTACATATGATTTGAATAGAGGAAGGCCCTCCCTGCCGTACAGTAAAGGCAGCAGCAGGGAGCGGAGCCTGACTTCTGTCGCTATAGCCTCAGGTCCTTGGAGATGAGAGGTGGGAATCCCTGCACCACTAATTAATGTGGAACGTGTTTAAAGAAAAGTCCCCCAGCAGCGGCTCCGTGGTGGGGCTCACATGGCTCGCCAGTGTTCAGAATGACTGGATCGCTCTGGAGGGGACTGCATGAATTTCACAGCCCAACAAGCATCACTTATCTCTATATATACATACACACACACACACACACACACACACACACACACACACACACACACACACACACACACGTCATTCTCTTGTTTGCGCACACACTTTGGAAAGCAGAGAAGTGCATCGTAAACACCCGGAAAACACTTGTTTTAATGCTCAACCTCAGCACTCCTGCTCAACTCCTCACCATATCATTTTAGGCAACGCTTTGGTGAAGGCATGAATTATTGGACCATTTGAGGACGTGTCCACTTGCGCTCGGGAGATGTGGACGAGAAACAAGAAGCAGATTCAGCTCGTGCACAAAATAGGCTGTGAACAAATGCGTTAAAATGTGTCATTAGAGATTTATATAGAGAATATGGACCACATGGTATTGGACCATTGGGAGAGACCAATGTCCATGAATGTTGATGGTCCATACATGTTGTAGAATGTCAAAGTGTCCTGGATCACCACAGTCCTTCTTAAACACAAACTGTAACAGACTCCTGCACCAGAAGAAAAACTGTGAAACCCAGGACTCAGACTGTAGAACGAGGACTGAGGCTGTAGATCCAGGACTCAGACTGTAGAACGAGGACTGAAGCTGTAGATCCAGGACTCAGACTGTAGAACGAGGACTGAGGCTGTAGATCCAGGACTCAGACTGTAGAACGAGGACTGAGGCTGTAGATCCAGGACTCAGACTGTAGAACGAGGACAGGTGCAGGACTGAAGCAGCTCCAGGCGGGGAGTACTCAGTAGTACAGAAAACTAATGAGGTCTTTGTCCAAGAGTGAAGTATTTTCAAAGCAACAAAAGAGTAACATTGGTTTTAATTCTGTTTAAAATACTGTACAATGTTACAGTACGGTTCGATAATACTCTGTTACTCTGTTTGCTAATACTCTGTTGTTGTCGAATGAGTGAAAAACAATGGGAGAGCAGCAACATGTATGCTTTACATGCTGTACATGTTGTTCTTACAGAGTATTCTGAACACTGACCTTAAGCTCTGCCCGACTCTGCTCCCCTTCTCTAACCCCCACCCCCCCCCCTCCCCCCCCCCCCCCCCCCCACCACAAGTGCCCTCTTCCAATCGGCCTGTGCACTCTGCGTGAAATAACAGCACCCGGCTTCCTGTTAGCAGGAAGAGGAAGGCCGCTGTGATTAATACAGTGTTTACATTGGTCCGTCCCGTTAATCTGTCCCGCTGCCGACGTGCGGAGCCTAATGTGAAATGAGGCGTGGAGCCCGGGGTCGTTACTCACAGAGTCTGATGAGGGAGCGGGGAATGTGTATCCTCTGCCAACACCACTGTTTATCACTTCCTCTTGATATAAAAAAAAAAAGTCACATCCTGAGATCTGAAATAAAGTGTACATCTGCTCTACGCTGAGACGAGTCGGTACAATCCAATCAGAGCGCTGCAAAGAGCACCTGTGCCTCTGTCCTGCTGGACCGGGTCACTCCACAGCCTGGATACAGTGTTTTAACTGCTGTAGAGTACAGCTGTAGAGTACAGCTGTAGAGTACGGCTGTAGAGTACTGCTGTAGGGTACGGCTGTAGGGTACGGCTGTAGAGTACTGTTGTAGAGTCCGGCTGTAGGGTACTGCTGTAGAGTACTGCTGTAGAGTCCGGCTCTAGAGTCCGGCTGTTGAGTACGGCTGTAGAGTACTGCTGTAGAGTCCGGCTGTAGAGTCCGGCTGTAGAGTCCGGCTGTAGAGTCCGGCTCTAGAGTCCGGCTGTTGAGTACGGCTGTAGAGTACTGCTGTAGAATATGGCTGTAGAGTACTGTTGTAGAGTACTGTTGTAGAGTCCGGCTGTAGAGTCCGGCTGTAGAGTTCGGCTGTAGAGTTCTGCTGTAGAGTACGGCTGTAGAGTATGGCTGTAGAGTACGGCTGTAGAGCACTGCTGTAGAGTACTGTTGTAGAGTATGGCTGTAGAGTACGGCTGTAGAGCACTGCTGTAGAGTACTGTTGTAGAGTATGGCTGTAGAGTACGGCTGTAGAGTACGGCTGTAGAGCACTGCTGTAGAGCACTGCTGTAGAGCACTGTTGTAGAGTACAGCTGTAGAGTACTGCTGTAGAGTACTGCTGTAGAATATGGCTGTAGAGTACTGCTGTAGAATATGGCTGTAGAGTACTGCTGTAGAGTCCGGCTGTAGAGTCCGGCTGTAGAGTCCGGCTGTAGAGTACGGCTGTAGAGTACGGCTGTATTTCTCCTGCATGAGTCCAAACACATCATTTACATACAGAACTTTTCAGTATTTGTGTGGATGAGGTTGTTTACAGTGACGCTCTGATGTCAATATTTACCAGAGTAACAAGCACACTAGTTTTATTCTTCCTTCTCCGTTTCAGGCAACTACAGTATTACTTTATTTTTTACCCTCTTATGCATGTTAGCAAAACATACATAAACATTAGTGCAAAAACAGCCCCACACTCACATCTTCCTCCTACAATCACAACACTCACACTGCCCTTTAAATACACCTGACCAAAAGCACGTGTGAGAAACCTTTTCAGCAGTTATTCTTGGCCTAATTTCAGTTTTTTTAATTGGAAGCTTCTTATCCCCACTTTTGTCTTTGTCAGTGTGTATTTGTGCGCTACCAAAACATATTCAGTGAAAATGGTGCCCACCGCCTCGTGTTTGGCCGTCATCACAGCTTGGCCTCGGGAACTGGCTCCAAGGGGCGCACTGGAGGAGCACAGATACCAATAACCGTGGATGCGGGAGGCAATAACTCTGTCGACTCCCTCATCAAATCAGAGGCGAGTGATGCAGAATAATCAGCAATTGAAATCAGAGAGAGGAAAACAGCTGAACTGACAGAACGGGAAATGTCATCATGAGGAGAGCAATAAGAAGAGGATCAATGAGCTGCAGCCGCCATCATGGACCGCTCTGGTTTGGGCCCGGACGGCGGCCGGAGCTGCAGACGCTTTGGACACGGTCACACAATACATTTAACAACAACGACAAATGCTAAAATGTGAAAAAAAGAGATTCACAGTTGAAACTTGAGATATTGGATTATAGCTGAAAAGTCCATTTACTTCCATTACTCGACTTACTCAAAGCATTATCCATCCTCCTTTTGTCTGTTATTTTTCTATGTGTAAAAATTGTTACGTGGTGAATTGAATGAGGACCCAAAAAGCAGGAAAATAATAATTTAATAAAATAAAAGTTCAGAGAAAAACAAAACTCAAAATCCAAAAACGGAAGCAGGAACAAAGACCAAAACAGGACAGAGAACGACAGGACAAAGGGAGAGGAGCACAGGTACATATAGACACAGGTACATATAGACACACACAGACACAGGTACATATAGACACAGGTACATATAGACACAGGTACATATAGACACAGGTACATATAGACACACACAGACACAGGTACATATAGACACAGACAGACACAGGTACATATAGACACAGAGAGACACAGGTACATATAGACACAGACAGACACAGGTACATATAGACACAGACAGACACAGGTACATATAGACACACACAGACACAGGTACATATAGACACAGGTACATATAGACACAGGTACATATAGACACACACAGACACAGGTACATATAGACACAGACAGACACAGGTACATATAGACACAGACAGACACAGGTACATACAGACACACACAGACACAGGTACATATAGACACAGAGACACAGCCCACCGTAAGACCTACTTCACGACTCCCACTGATGACTGCTGTTGTTGTGTCCTTGGGCAAGACACTTAACCCCACTTTGCCTGAAGCTCCCACTGAAAGATCTCAGCTCCTGTGGACCAACCACCTGCAGGAGGATCAGTGAGGCGCTGGTGCTAAGTGTACTGGGTGGCATCTCTGGCCACCCCCCCCCCCCCCCCCCCCCCCGACCCGGAAATGGATTAAGGGGAAGAAAATGGATGGACTGTCAAGGAATGAATAAGTCTTTTTTCAGAGTTTCACCTGCAATATAACATGTTTGAAGTGAAGTAGGTAGTTCATCTTTAAAGCTACTTTGGATAAACCACTATTTTGGAAATGATCATTATTGTGAAGGTGTTTTTATTGGCAAAGATAATAATATAATGAATCTACCTTGGCGAATGAGGGTGTTTTTGCAGTAATTAAACCAAACTAGTATCTCTGCAGAATGGCCGTCTTGACCTTAAGGATCCATACAAATTTTCTGCTTGGGTAAATGTCATTTTTTTACCCCTTTTTTTGTTCCTTTCTGTTTCTCCGTCGACACGGACATGGTCTTGGTGTTTCAGCTCAGGCTTCAGGCAAAGTGGGGTTAAGTGCCTTGCCCAGGGACACAACAACAGCAGACATCAGCGGGAGCTTCTTTAAACAAGGAGAGGAGAACGGTTATGAATAGGTATGAAATCAAGAAAATTCAAGAATACAATACACTTTATTCTTGTACAGCTCTAAATCACAGCAGCATCATCTCAGAGACTTCACAAAACCATTGAAATCACCAACACAGATCAGAGCACGGCTGTTCTGTATAGTTTGTTTACTGCTCTCTTTGTCCACTGAGACATAATGCTATAAACACATGCAGCCGTTTCTAAAAGATTGTAAATAATGAGCTTTTGAAAAACATTGTGAGACATGAAGGACACGTCCTCCTCTTCGTCTGAACATGTGATTGTGTTTGACCACAAATGCAGTGAAAACATTCAATATGAGCAGGTGGGCTTGTCATTCATCATCAGCTCTTCAACGTGTCTGCCAGAACCGGAGAAAGAATTGTTGTTATGTATAAGAAGACTGGTATTCTGGGATGATAAAATTGCCATAATTTACTAATGACATGATTGGTCCCGGGAACAGTCCGGTCTCTCACGGCTCCGGACAGGTTTAAAGGATGGGTCAAAACCATAGACTGTAAATATTAACAGACGTAGTGACGCCTAACTCCGCCGCTCTAACTATTGTGCCACAACATCCGCAGTCTATGGGCAGTTTCGCTGCACGATAAGATAAGATGTGCTTTATTTATCTCACAAGGAGAAATGTACATGTCACATTTGGCATGGATAGGACACTCAGATTGTGCAAAAGGAAATGTGCAAACATGTTACATGCAGGATATATTTGTACAACAAAAGTGGCAATTTAAAGTGGTAATCAGATATAGTGTCAATAGTAGTGCAGGTTTCTTTTGTTTTGGTTTTTTTTGTTAATTTTTTATTTGCCCATTCATTTAAAGGAGTGACTTCAAAAACTCACAGCGACTAAACTAGACTGGTCCAGAACACTCAGCATTGACACACATGTGGAACGGAGCTTTGGGCCAAGAGTCACCTTTGGACCATCCTGTAAAGACGTTTTCCAGAGGTCAGCTAATGCTATATGTTAGCATTTGCTAATTCTTATTCCTGGTCCACCCCCACTGGCCCGGGGTGGTATTGCAGCATGTCAGCGCACGTCATTCTGGACCTACCCCACCGGTCCAAACCTCAGTGACGTACAGTATTTCCCTCATTGATTGTGACTTTTTTTTGGGTCACAACCAAGAGCAGATCTTCAGATTATAGAAAATGTGACGTCTCTGAATGTTGTTGGTAATTCATGCAAACCTGGAAACTGGATTTACTGAAGAGATTTGTTGAATTGTTCTAAGTGGGTCACGCTCCAGATGCGGTCAATGCTGAGGGGAGTTCATGTTTTTGGACCAGTCTAGTTTAGTCGCAGTGGAATGTTGCAGGCACTCGTCAAATGATTGCGGCTCATGCAGTTAACGCCCCGCGGCCATTTTGAAACTGCCCACAGACGGCGAAAGTGGTGGCACACTAGTTTGACTGGCGGAGAAAGGCGTCACTGTCTGTCTATAATGCATTGCTACTTAATTATAGCTAGAGTACTTGAGACAGTTAAGACAATTCTGGAAACATTTATCAGTACATGTTTGGTTTTGTTTTAAATTAGATGGAAGAATGTCAAACCGTTAAGTTCTTTCTCTATATTTCTTCCTCATAATCAGATCCTGTAGTTTTTTCAAAGGTCCAGCCCTGAGAACCTCACCTGAACTCTGCAGCTCTCCTCCACATTCCACGCTCTGACTGGAGGGTTTTGTTAAAAGCAAAGACATGTATTTTTCCCACAACTGTCACACACATTGTTTTCTTCTTCCTCTCGCACACACACACACACAGACACAGACACACACACGCCTCCGCGGCACTCACCAAACAACCCGGAGTTTACACATCACAAGGGACGACGCTGCAGTTCAGGCTTCGGCACGAGATGTGACTCGCTAACGCAGGATGAGGAGGGGACCGCAGCCCTGCATTTTATTCTAGACTCTCTCTGGTTTGTACAATAAACAAGTGTCAGGCAGCAGCACAAGCAGCACTTTCATTTTAAGGACATAACAAGAACAGCCTACAGCGAGACGTGGACTGGCTTCCACAACTGTCACACACAACTAGCTTCACGCGCCTCCTCCAAATGTGGCTCTGACTCCGGGCCGTGTGTTGGCCAAGAATCCAACCACAGAACATTACAACAGCCCTTAGCAAAGTCTCTGAAACATGAGCATTAGCATGAGCATTAGCATTAGCATTGTTAGTCAATCTTGCCGCATGAAAAGACAGTAGAAATTACACATATATTTACATTTTTCTTGTTTATGACTGTGCTTTTCGAGTCATACACAAGTGATTCTGCAGCTTTGTGTTGGGAAGTGGGTCCAAATGAAACCAGTATCTATCCATTCACTTTTATACAGTTCCCAGTTCAGGCAAAGGAGACTGTATGAACTCAACGGTCACGTCATGTCTTCTAACAGGATTTATTTAGCAAATTGCAAAATCACTTAACACAATTATTTCAATATTGTGTGTGTGTATTTTCAAAACACACACACACTCATACACACACACACCTTTACAAGATGCTTTCTGTCAGGGCAAACAAAATATATTAATGAAATAAAATTGAACGTATAGCTACCCCAGCTTTAAATGACATCTGTCCCTGCAGATGGACCACTGCACATGTGACCATAGTTAAACATGTGACCATATTTAAACATGTGACCATAGTTAAACATGTGACCATAGTTAAACATGTGATCACAGTTAAACATGTGATCACAGTTAAACATGTGATCACAGTTAAACATGTGACCACAGTTAAACATGTGACCATAGTTAAACATGTGACCATAGTTAAACATGTGACCATAGTTAAACATGT